GATGCATTGTGTTTTTTTCTCCAAATTAATCAAAAAATTCGGAGCCGTAAGTAGCTTCCCACGTCGACAGAAGATCCTGGCAGAAGCAGGAGCCGTGAGCAGAAGGTCGTTGAGTCAGCGTGATACTTCAAGGTGAACAATGCATTAGGTCCTAAGTAATATTGACAGATTTCCTTCGTCGACTTTCTCTTTGCATCCTCACGGCCATGTTGAAGACATTCCCAGCTATTTTTATCACAGAGATCAACGAAACAAGCTATTATTTTGTATTACAAACACGACAAAAGCGTTTCAGTACCCAAATTATTGACGAAAGAGAAAGTCGATGAAGATAATCGATCAATGTTACTCAGGACCCAATACATTGTTCAGCTTAATTTTGTAACCAGTGGTGTGTCTGTCTGTCTGAGATTAGTGAGATTGTCGCGATAAATGTTTCGTATTTTATGTATAACGATATGCCAAGGAAAGGTTTGAATACAAGCTACCAACACCACCCATCGCCCACAAAATCATCCACTGGACAGTACACAGCCCCACCACTAAACGACAGGAAGATCCTGTACGTACCACCAGATGGCACTGTTTACTGGATTTGGAGACCATTAGGAGGTGGCATAAGGGGCCATGATGAGGCGAAATAGGGCGGAAGGACGATGGCTCATCGAGGAGAGGAGGAAGGAGGAGAAAGAATAGGTCAGCCGCCATCGTTGAGAATCATTTGATTGGCGATACTCAACAGCGAGGCAAGTTCAAGCAAGTTTGAAATTCAGTAAGAACCGTGAGGACGTGAAAGAAGTGAAGAAGGAGAGTGAGGTGCAGAACCATCCAGGTAAAATTCCCTTAGAAGGAAACACCTTCTCGATCGCCAATAACCGCCATCATGATTCCCCATTATGTCCACAGGATCCCGTAGTTTACCGCTGGAAATTCATCCACGGCGTGGTCAGACCCCGTAGTGTCCGTCATTCGGCATACGGCGCGGTTAGACACGGAGTATCTTCCGATACGAAGGTATCCGCGAATACAAACCAACGGTCCATCGACCGTTAGACGCCACGAGTATAGTGAGGAGAGAGAGAGAGAGAGATCGAAGAGCCGTCGTGGAAAGTACCGAAGTACGCGACCGGCTTGCGATCCAAGTCGAGGGTTCAAAGTCGAACGAAAGGAACCGACTGGACTGTGAAAAGTGCCCAGAAGGAAGCTGAGGAAGGTGAAGGAGTGGCTGTGGAAGGACAAGAAGAAACGTTAGGCGAAACGAGGTAGAAGATAGCCAATAAGAAAGTGGGACGAAAGTGGGAACAATAAAGGTACCTGTAGCTAAACAAATGTTGTGTGTGTTGTATATTTGAGTGTTTCCTTGGCCGTGATATTCGAGCGCGCATGCCGACCTTGAGGTAGTGTAGAGGGGGGTCTCATAAGTGCTGGGCAGGGAGTTCCCCATCTGTTACATATTTTCTAAAACTTGCAATCAGCGAGACAAATGAAAACAAAAATATTGTAAATAATAATAATTACGGACTGATTCGAGATAAGGGCGCAACTTTTTATAAACAAAAACTTCAATCTTCAATTTCAATTGAATGAAAGCTCGGTCTCACAAGATATCTATACCAACTGGTAGAGGAATTATTTCCCAACCTGTCTGTGTTATTTTGTTTTTTCAAGAGTATGCTTTTATTTGTGAAAAATTGGTAATAGAAGCCATTGTTAACTAAAAAAATTGTGCCTCATTCTCAAATCATACCGGGTAGGTGCGATTTCCTACACTCAAAAAATTTCACACGCCATCATCATGTGTCTCACACTTAATTTTGCGCATATTGTGAAACACATCCATTTCATGTGTGAATCTTATGCTATGAACCATGCCTGAACACTATGGATTTGAATTGTGACACACTTGGATTCTATGTGCCTCATATGGTGATATCAATAGCTTTGCACACCATAGTTCAATATTCTACAATATTCTACTTTATCGAATTCTATTTTACCGACTCTAAAAATGAATCGACAAATATATAAATATAAACAAAACTTCCAGAGGCCAGAGCTTCCACAGATATTTTAAATGGGTCTGATTTGGGATTCGATCATGGACTGTTGGGGTATGCTGCTGCCGGAGTCTTCGTTCGATCTCACTGTGCCACGGTTGTTCTCATATATGAGGCAGGTTGATAGGATAAAGTCACAACTCTTGTTATAGATGTTTACCTTTCTGAGCAAGCAATTCACATCGTATTGAAATGCAAAACACTTTAAATCCATCTGTTTTGAACAGTAGCGTGATTCAATGTGCAATACACTTGAATAGATAGTGAAAAAATTTCAACATTTCAAAGTTTGAAACACTATAAATTAACGTGTACAACACATTGAACCAAGGTGAAATACACTTAAAGTAAATGTGATTCTGCATTTAAAAAATCAAGTGTTTAAACACTTCGATCAAACGTGTGAAATTTTTTGAGTGTATACTCTATCGCCCGCGACACTGATTTCACACACACACAGGCACTCTCTACTATTCGAGAGAAAATGGCTGCGTGATTTCAAAGTTTAATCCTTTCTCACCCCATTTAATCTAGATTTTCCAAAATTCAGATTAAGGCAAGTATTATCCTCGATGGAGCTTACCGCAATAAATGCATATATAGAAGTACCTGACATGTTTTGCACTGCACTGTCCTCTGTAAACAATTAACGGAAAACAGATTATGCGCAATTTCCGATAGATGTCACCGCAAACAACAGCAGTGATATCTGATTGAACATGAATGCAGAAGATTGACAAAATGATTAATTAAGCAGTTGATGTGTACAACTGTGCATGCCGAGCATGCTCGTAACCCAGGCAACAATTCGATACTTAACAAGTGTTCTTTCAACGATTTTAATTCAGCCTTGAAGCCAGTTTGAATAATTGTTATACATAGACCACCTTAACCTTTGTTCAGCTTTTAAATATCTAAATCTGGTGATTTTGATCAGTCGAAAGCTTAATAGTAATATAAATTTGAAGCTTTTTAATGCATCAAATAACATTTTTTTCACCCTTGTTCAGCCTGCTATTTTAAATTTAAAAAAAAATCATGGAAGACCGCTTCATATATTATAATTGTTATGGGGCTGTTTTAGCTTAATGCTGACAAATTGGATTCACATAAATATTTATATTGCTATTATAAGTCTTCAAAATTTCCTCTGCATTTCGGGATTCGAACCGACAGTCGCTCATCTACAGGCGTCTATCATACCTACTGAACCACTTAAGCATATGTGTGCCAAAAGGAATGATCGTTAACTTGAAGGACGTCAAATTTAAGTTGAATATTACAAAGCAACCGGAAGAGTATTATACAGCAATGCAAAATTGTAAACAGTAAATGATGACAGTAAAACATTCCTCTCAATTTCCGCGATTTATTTTGATTTTCGTTGGGATGCTGATATAGTGCCATGCAACGCGTAGAACTGACGACATTTAACAATATTGTGCAATATATTCAAATTATTCTATCACGCTATCAAAATATTTGTAGCGCATTGCTGAATTATGGAGTGATTAGCTTAAATAAGTCTTGTTCAGTCTTCAGTTCAACTAACTTATTGAAGTTGAATTATGGGGATACAATTGGCTTTATGCTCTACTAATCAACTATATATTCACCCTGGTGTTAATCAGCTTCGTACACCTTAAATCAACCAATAATCAGCTTCTGTTCTTACTATTCAGCTTTAATTGTTACTTGGGAAGTATAATTCATTTACAATGAAATTCACGCGCACACTTACCCACACAGAGAACCGGTAAATCACTCATCACAACACACTCCCATCTCTGCTTACCCAATACACATAAATGGAGACGCTATTTGCAACTACTACTACAGAGGGACAAGTAAAATAAATAAACAAATGTACAATGCCTTAGCTTGATAAAGGATACCAATAGCTCGCCACGGCGAAAGTAAAAAGCAAATTAAACGAAAATCAGCGGCAGTGGCAGCTGTTCTTCTACTTATCCAGATCGAAAATCACTACGCGGCACGCGAAAAAAAACAATTCTTCTGCGGCACACAGCACAATTTCACACTTAATTGTCAATTAATTATCACAGCACTACGGACTAAACTTTAACGTTCGCCATCAATACTATGTCAATTAATAACTACGTTACATTTACATATTTTAAGATATTTTAACCAATTTAATGTGTTTGTCCAATGTCACCTCCACGAGGTTCCACATTGGTCTATTTTTTATTGAATTTTAGTTAAATGAGATATCACTTTAAATCAACCATTTCCACGCCAGTCGTAAATATATCATAGATGAATATATTAACATGCTTAGAATTGTTTCTTTGCTATAATGTGACTATTGTAAGGTATAGAACGGAAAATTTTGATTGCTTGGCCCAATGTCACCCCAACTTACGGTACTTAAAATCTCATATGAATTCATTTATAACATGACAGAGCAATGATTCGAAAACGGAGGTTTTGGTGCTACGTTCCTACAGCCAAAAATAGCCAAAAATTATCAACAATCCTATGCAAACCCAAAACTGAGATTTGCATCTCCGGAAAGCTTGATGTCGTTATTTACATTTATACAAAAATCAAGCCTACAAAGCCGGTTTAACTCTGTTTGCCAAACAACCCATGTGGAAAAATGAAATGCAAATCAAACAAACAAAAAAGCAGAATCTCCATCTCCATAGCCACTGTGCTAGAAAAAGACCCAACATCATAGCTTGAAAATTCCATGGAAATAGAAAAAAATTACCTTCTCAAAACAGTCACCCTCGGTTGAAACCACAGCACAAAAAGCTCATATGAGATGGAAATCTCTCATTCAAAAGCATGCCATAGAAGTGGGTGGGAATGAGGAGGGCCACACAACGGGGATTTTTTCGACACCCCGTGAGCACGTGATAACGACCAACAAAAAGTGCTTACAGCTAAAAATCTAGAACAAAGTAATTAACTCACTCGTGTCGGTAATCCTCGTGGGAAATCCTTCCCCTTTGCTGGTGGTCCTTGGCATGCACACACGCACGGGAAATAAGCTTTCTCCGGTTACGGTTAACACGTGTCAGCTCGAGATTGTACTAAGTTTTTGTTTTTCAATCTCCTAATCAGAATCCGTTAATCGAAAGCTGATTACTTGCGCAAATCGCGAATTAATATTTAACATCTATATTATGATCGGCAAATCCTTCGATGAAATTTCACGTTAATTATTTAGGAGCACAATCGATGGGTTCACTTTAACACTCACTTTGAAATAAAACCCGAGGGATAAAAAGCCATTTGCGAAACCCGGAGAAGCAATTATGGATTCACATCATTTAACACGGAACGATAATAATTATTGTACACTATTGATATTCATAGCTTTCATTATTTATTAAACATCCATTTTCACCACGGTTGATCAACCACTTTATGATACAAATTAAATACGGTATTCGTTCGGCATGTTGCTTTTACACCCTTTTTGCATATTACACAATCGCTGGTAATGTATGAGTCGTGTCATGCACCTGTTTGAGGATTAAAAAGAAGAAGAAACAAGAAAAAATTTAAATTAATTTTCAAGCTAATTGTAAAGGCACAATGGTAATTTGCATAAAAGTCAACCATAACATAACGAGAAAGTAATTTTTTTTTTTTTTCTAGAGCGAACTGACAATGCTGCTTGAATTATTAAAATTATGCTTATCCGAGTATACTTCCATTTCAGCGTTCCAAGCTGACGCACGTAATGTTTCATTTGTTCACTAAGCTACGTGTAGCAAGGCATGGCGTTGCGTTACTTTGCATACCTACTTGTAATTTGTATCCAATTACTAAATTAGCAACTGCTGACAGATTATATTTTCCCAACATGGCATTTGACACCTAGACTAGACACTTTCCCACCGAAAGGATACAAATTTGTGGCTTTCTTTAGTCTGGTCAGGTCTTGCCAGTAAAGGCCGATTCCTCCTTCGGTTACGGGGGACTTCCCCAGGCGGGTAATGCTGGCTGGCTATGTGATGTAGAGAATCAGTTGGAACACTATCAGCTAATTAAATAAATACGAATTCCAACATTTTCCTTTGTGAGTTATCGGGTTTTCCGCATAAAAAATGCGCTGCTTTTGAAAAACCTTCATCTCCCCTAATTCCCGAGTACTTTTGACGTATGACTACGTCTGTGATTTCTATATGGGGGTACACTTTGTTAAAACCGAAAATGGAACATGTAACGAAATTATGAAAGATTTTGAATGTTAATAACTCAACTGCCCCTGGACAAATTTCAATAATCTTATCACCAATCGATCAGAAATATTTTCGCGCATCGACTGTTGATTAACAACAACAAACTATTGAAAAAGTGATAAATGTCAAGCATTGTCCAAAAGCGTAGAAATAACTATCAAAGCCACCAATTACGTCCATGCATATGCTGCATCACCAACACAGTCATCAGAGAGTCGTTAGTAGAAGAAACATGTCGAAGTGGCATTCGCCTCCGATCTTCGGGCGTGTGCGAATAGAGAGGATGCAATTGCGAAACATTTGCACACTCATCGCCATATTCAGAACCACACGCCCCCAATGACCACACAAAATGCTCTCCAGAGTTGTAACCAAACTTGGAAGCAGGGGTGCAAGTGATTTTGATCGATTCTCTTCATCGACTTTCTGTTTCGTTAATAACTCGACGGCAAACACATTCATTAATACGTTTGTTGTTCTGGATGATAGAAGAGCATAGCGGAAATAGCATAGCGGAATGGGTGAGTGAAGCAATAGTCATCCAAAGAGGAAATCGATGAAGATAATTGACTTTCACCCCTATAGAAGCATAGCCCCTTAATTCAATCGTCGTCATAGCAATGAAAACTAGCATTGCACCGCTCTTGGTTCTTGGGTTACACTTGCTAGTTGCAATTCTGCTGTTCGACATTTTCGAAGGACCACCACAAAACATGAAATTACAATATTTTCTAGGGATGCCTAAAAGTCCAATTAATCGATTAACGGTCAATCGTAAAGATTTTTCCAGCTATTCGATTAAGTCTTTCTGCTAAAGGCTAAGATTTACCAACTTGTTTTGAGAGAAGAATTTTAACGAGAAAAACTAAAAAGAAGCGGAGCTTTAACTGGGTGGACACTGATATTCTGCGGCCTTCCAACTTATCGCAGATTCCAGTTCAACCCCTGTCCAGCAGCAGACGGGCCGAGACTCTTGCAAGTGCCCAATCATTGAACCGAATAATATGGGATTGTCCTTTCCGATTTGCTGATCCAGCTGCCTACACGTCATCATCATCTTCCAAAGGCTTTAAGCCTGTACTACCATCGGCCCTTTTCAGGGCCACCAAGATTTTCCAAAAGAGTTCAATTTCTGAACATGTCCCAACTAAAATTCATATCAAAGGGTTCTTTCCAGGGCAATCATAGTCATACTAAAGAGTATAAACAGAGAGAACCCACATTCCTTTTCCTACACAAAATACAAGCTCCTGCTGCAGTTAAAAAATAACATTTATTATATAAGACCACGTAGTCCTATGTCACCATTGCCTACAACCCCATAGGGCTGACTAGGTAGTTTTTAAAAGGACCAATGTAACATTTCCGCCATATTGAGAAAAACTATGTTGAAGTTCGGAAGATTATTTTCTAAACTGGTTTGAAACAGTTCGTTCAATAAAACTATATTAACCAGGAATGGTAATATTACACTTTTATTTCATAATGCTCGCGTCACTTTTCAAAAGGTCTTTAGTAGCAAAAGTAAACAAATCGAGTTAAGCTGTGTAAACTATATCTTCTATCATTTTTTATCAAGTTCGTTCATTTGTAAGGCTCCATTGTTCTTTATTTGTAACAAAATTCACTTAATTCAATTTCTAGTAGGAGTTGGACCGAATACTCGCGGCTTACCCGAAGTTAGAGGGGTACATTGTTGAACGATGGGAAAAGGGTAGGAGCTTGGGAGTGAGGTTTCGTTGTCTCATAAGAGCGATGTCGCCAGTATGAACGGTAACATCAGTTATTCTCTAGCGAATTAAACAGGAGCATTCTCTGCTTGATCGTCAAGCAGTTCAGTTCGCTGTTAGCTCGCTCTCTCGAGTTATGGGGAAGCATCGGTCGCGAAGCCCGGCGAAGGTCCAGAACCCCGGTGAAGGAAGCTCCGGTGTGCCTACCTCGAACAGGTTTGCTGTTCTCCCCATGGATGGGAATATCCAGCCGGCTGTGTTGGAAAAACGCAGCAAGAAGAGGAAGAAGAATCGAGACCAGTCCGATAGCACGATTGGTCGAGACGATGCCTCTGCGACGAACGGAGATCTCGGTGACGCTGCCGATAAAGAAAATGCTGCCGACATGAGCGCGGCAAGAGTGAAGCTACCTCCGCTGGTAGTGAAAAATGCCCATCTCAACGAGCTCATCGCGGATCTGGCATCGCTGGGCGTCAAAGCCAAATTCAAATTGGGCAGAGTCGGCACCAAGGTGGTGCTCCGTACCAAAGCGGAGTATGATTTGGTCATCGGCCACCTGAGGACTTCCAAGGTGGAATTCTTCACCCACGATATCCCCGGTGAAAAACCGTTCAAGGTCGTCATCAGGGGCCTACCAAATTTCGACCCGTAGTTTATCGAACATGAAATCAGGGACCGGTACAAGCTGGCCGCAAGTGCCGTGTATCGAATGACAAGAAGAGACGAGAATGTGAAGGCGTATCCGGATAGCCTTTTCCTGGTACACTTCCAGAAGGGAACGGTGACGCTCAACGCACTGAAAGCCATCCGGTCCATCAATTCCATCATCGTTCGCTGGGAGCCATACCGTGGCGGCCATCGCGATGTGACTCAGTGCCAGCGGTGTCTGAACTTCGGACACGGTACCCGCAACTGCAACATTAAGCCACGCTGCGGAAATTGCGCTCAAGACCATGCCACCTCCGAATGTGCTGCGGATGAAGCTGTGGCGTCCAAATGCGCCAACTGTGGTGGGGCTCACCAAGGATCCAACAAGCCGTGCCCTAAACGCGAAGATTTCAAGCGCATCCGAAATCAAGCGTCCACCAACAATCAACCAGCACGAAGGAAGGATAAGGCCCCGGCTTTCAGGACGGAGGACTTTCCGCCTCTTCATGGACAAGTGAATCCCAGGGTGCGATCCGCACCCCCTCAAGAAACGTCTGGATCTTCTGCTGGACAAAGCTCTCCATCCCCCCTGGATTCTGGAGGCAACCAACAGCTCAAACAAACAATTCCGATCTGTTCTCAGCAGATGAGCTGATGGAGATTTTTATCAACATGACCGGTGCTCTACGTAAGTGCCGCAATAAGCCCGAACAGATCCAAGTGCTCGGTAAGTTCATCATCCAATATGGTGTCTAAACCACTAACCATCGCTACCTGGAACGCTTGCTCTGTAAGAGCAAAACAGATTGAGCTTGCCGACTTCCTCCACAAGCATAGCATCGATGTGGTTCTTCTAACCGAGACCCACCTAAAGTCCGGTGACAGCTTCTGGTTGCCTGACCACAACATTATCCGGCTTGATCGCACCAGCTCCAGGGGGGGGGGGGTGGTGTAGCGGTCATCGTCAGAAAGGCAATCAAGTTTTGCACTCTGCCCAACATCCGCACTTCCATCATCGAGGCCATTAGTGTGGAGGTGGAATCACCAACTGGAAACGTCCGGTTCATCGCTGTTTACTGCCCACGCCAGTGTACCACAAGCAACGGATTAGGAATCCAATTCAAGAAGGACCTGACCGCCATCACCCATACTAGCTCCCGATTTATCGTTGGGGGTGACCTGAATGCCCGCCATGAAGCTTGGCGGAACTACCAGAGGAACCGGAACGGATGTCTATTGTTCGACCACGCACAACATGTACTGTGCACTGTGCAATTTTCGGACGAACCAACTTTCATCTCTCCGAAGGGAAATCCTTCCACGCTGGACTTCTTCCTGTCAAACATCGGACTATCCAAGCCGGAGGCGCACAACGATCTCAGCTCCGAACACCAACCGGTGGTGACTGTAGTCGGTGTCAACGTGGTTCCTGCTAGAAGCTGCCTGCGTAAAGACTACCACCATGTCAACTGGGTGCAGTACGGTCGAATGGTGGACAGCAAAATCGATGAAAATCCACTGCTCGACACCGTAGATGACATCGACCGGGCGTTGGAAGGACTGCAACAGGCCATATCCGAGGCTGACGAGACATGCGTGCGACAAGTTCCTGTGAGGGGTAAGTTTGTTGCTATTGATTCCCACACCCAACTATTGATTCGATTGAGAAATGTGCGTAGACGTCAGTTTCAGAGAACTGGAGACCTGGGCAAAAAACGTGATATGGCCGATCTGAACAGGCAGATTGCTTCCAGAATGGACTCACTCCGAAATGAAAGTTTCGGGCGTGTTGTCCAGAATCTGGACGACCGCTCCAGACCATTCTGGAAGGTAGCCAAGGTCCAGAAAACTCATCCCAAACCCATTCCACCCCTCAGAGCCGAAAGTGATGACGATCGG